GGCCCTGGGTTCAATCCTCAGCACCACATAAAAAATAAATAAAGATAAAGTTACTGTGTCCATCGATAACTAAAAAAAAAATCAAAAGAAAGAAAATAAACTAAAATAAAGACTCTTAAGAATTTACACCTCTTACCCATAGCTACAAAGATTCCATCACAGATGTGAATTATGTTTTTCATTCTTAAAGAAAACCAAACACGCCTTCCTTTCTAGCTCTCCCGCCATCTTGATGGCTGCTCTTGGTGGGGGGCCCTCCTGCATCTAAGGCAGGAAGATGGTGGCCACAAAAAAGACGAAAAAGTCTCTGGAGTCGATCAACTCTCGGCTCCATCTTGTTTTGAAAAGAGGAAAGTATGTACTTGGCTACAAGCAAACTCTGAAGATGATCAGACAGGGCAAAGCTAAATTGGTCATCCTCTCCAACAATTGTCCACTTTGAGGAAATCTGAAATAGAGTAATATGCCATTTTGGCCAAAACTGGTGTCCATCACTACAGTGGCAATAATATTGAATTGGGCACAGCATGTGGAAAGTACTACAGAGTGTGCACACTGTCTATCATTGATCCAGGTGATTCTTATATCATTAGAAGCATGCCAGAACAGACTGGTGAAAAGTAAAACATGTAAAATTTTTCTTTAATAAAACTTGGCAGAGCTTGTTTTAAAAACACTTCATTCAGAAAAAGAAAAAGAAAACCAAACACATGCAGTTTTACCTCAAGGGTAAAAGAAAAATATGTTCAAGTTGATTGAATTTTCATTTCTCCCTATTCATTTCTCCCTGTAATTCCCAGCTCTTTTCGGCCATCTATATACCAAAGACATTATAGAAAAGGGAGGGAAATTTGAAATTGGTGTGGCAGATTGGTATGAGTCATAGGGTTTTTCCTTAATTAACCAACTTGCCTTTTTTTGTGAGGCTGAAAATGACTTATTTGGATTTCATATGTGAAGGACATTTCTTCTTGATAGAATTATAGATGTTGTTTCACTGTCTCCTGACTTGCATTTTTTCTTTTGAGAAGTTTGTGGTCACTCTTACCTTTTCACTTTCTATATAATGTGTCTTTTCTTTGGTTGTTATTACTTTGATGAAGTTTGATTATGGCAAACCTTGGTTTAATTTTCTTCATGTTTCTTGTGCTTGGATTAGTTGACCTTCTTGCCTTGGTTTTGTAGTTTTCATCAATATCGGAAAAATTGTTAACCATTTTTTCTTTTATCTTCTTTCTTATTACTGCAGCAACATCAACTACATATGAGTTATTCTGAAGGGTTTTCCACAGCTTAGTTAATGTACATTTTTGTTCCATCTTTGTATGTTTCATTTTTTATAGATCTTATTGCTATGTACTCAGATTCATTACTTCCTTTTGTTTACTTTATGAATTGTCTCATGTGTTCAAGATTTTTCTATTCCCAGTGTTTGGAACAGGACTAATTGTTATTTTCTCTAATCAATGAATTCATGTTTTTTTTCCCCTCCCTTTCTTTAAAGATATGTTTCTGTTATCTTCTGCTTTGCATGGTTTCTGCCCAACCAACCTCTTACTTTATTCTGCAATTTGCAAATTACCGTCAGCACACCCCCATGGTTGTAAAATTTTAACTTTCCCACTGGTTTTAAGCAGTTTGAACATGATGATATTTCTTGGTGTTTATTCTACCTAGTGATCTTTAAGGCTTCTTGAATTTGTAAATTTATGGTCTTAATCAGATTCGAAAATTTTTATTGATTATGTCTTTAGTTGTTCTGTTGTAGTTTTATATTTTTTGTTTGTGTGGTTTTATTCTTTTGCCTACTGCACTCTTTTATTCCCTTGCCCCAACAGCTTTTTTTTTCCTACTCTCAAGTATATATATGTTAAATTGCTTTGTAGTGACCCACAAGTCATTTTCTGATTTGCTGTTCTATCCTTGTTCCCCATCTTCTTTTCTGTGTTTGCTCCATCTTGGTTAGTTTCTCTTGTTTTATCTATAAATTCATGGCTCTCTTCTTCTACATTGTCTATTGTGTTGGTAAACTTATCCAATAACTTTTTCATTATAGATGTTACATTTTTCAGCTTAAGGATATCAGTTTGGTTCTTTTTATATCATATTTATTTTCTGTGTATCCACTTTTCCTTTAAGTTCACATTTATAGTCACTGTTTTGAAGTCTTTCACTGAAATTGCTGATTTTCTGATTCTTTTCTATTGATTTGCACCTCCACCACCCCCCCTCCTTAGCTGTGAGATCACATTTTCTGCTGCTTTTTATGCCTAATAACTTTCTATTGGCTGGTGACATTTTGAATGCTATTTTGCTGAGTATCTAGATTTTATTGTCTGTATAAAGAATTGAATATTGTTTTGGCAGGTGGGTACCTTTGTTTCAGCTTGGGATTGTTGTTGCTGTTTGTTTTGGTACTGAGGATTGACCTGGAGTGCTTAACCACGGAACCACATCTGCAGACCTTTTTCTTTGTATTTACTTTAGAGATGAGCCTCATTAAATTGCTGAAGCTGGCTTTGAAATTGTGATCCTCCTGTCTCAACCTCCCGAGCTACTGGGATTACAGGCATGCACCATCATGTCAGGCTCAGTTTGAGATGTTTGAGATTTATTTTAAGCTTCACTAGGATGGATCTAGCATAGCATTTTCTGTGCAGCTAGTTTAATGCTATAATAAAGGTGGGGTTTCTTTCAAAACCATGTGTTCAGTGAGATCTCTGTTTTCTGGCTGGTCAATTTTATTGCCTCCTTGTGGAAACTGTGAATCTGTTCCAACTTACACTTCCCAATGTTCTTTTCCCAGTCACCTGTGTAGCCTCCTGTTCATCAAAAGATTCAAATATAGTATGTGGATATATCTGTAGGCATTTCTCTATGTGTCTTCCTCTTTCTCAACTATGTCTTATAAATTCTTGCCACCTGGCTTCTCAAAGCTCCCATCTCTGTTACCTCAATGCAATATAACTATACCTTACTTTGCTTGGATTCCCCTCCTGATGATGAGGTTCTGGCAAAAAGCTGGGACTCACTTCTTTTATTTATTTTTTTTCTTTCTGAGACCACAGTCCTGTTCTATTTTTTAAAAAGTTATTTTGTATGCTGTCCACTTTCTGGCTGTTTAAGACTATGGGCAAATTTACCAGTTATTCTCTCTTGGCTAAAAGTGAAGTCTCTGTTGTATACAGTTGTGGTATGTTAAGCACATATACTAAAATTGGAATGATATGGAGAAGATTAGCATGGTCCCTGCACAGGGATGACATACAAATTCATGAAGCTCTATATTAAAAAAAAAAAAAAAAGTGAAAGTAAGATATAACTTAACCTTTTTTGGCTGTAAGCTTCTTGAAGATGGAGATTCTTTTGTTCACTGTTATAAACCCTAATATATAAAATATTACCCAGAATATCATAGGTATTCAACAGATACCTATGACATTGGGGTTTTTATTGTTTTGTAGTGCTCAATATTAACTAGAGAACCAACCCAGGAACTCACCCATTCAAGGAGTCCTGCACTGAGCTATATCCCCAGCCCTAGATATTTGTTTAATGAATATTGTTGAATGAATAAACATATGGAACTTATATCTTGAATTTCATTTAGCCTGGATGATGTCTTAAATAATTATAATGAAAACTCAATTATCCACATACTTGAATAGTTCTGTTTGAGGTGTAAACTAGGCATCAAGACATTAAATTTGACCACTTTGAATAACTTAATATGATTCAGGTTATCGCTGTTTCTCATTATGCAGTTTGGGTGATGGTTGCAGTTTTCCAACTCGCCTTGTTGGGATGGATCCAGAACAAGCTGCTACAGGCCAAAGTGAACATTCCAGAAGGTGTGCTTTTTTTGTCCCTAAGTTTTTCTTTGCTAAACAACTGTATACTTGTGTTATACATACATATCTTATGAATATATACAACAATAATCCAGTAAGCCACCATAGATAACAAAAAAAATTCTATTTAAAGTTTTTAACTGATGTTTAATATGTATATGTGCCTAATATGCAGGCTGGGGATGTGGCTCAGTGATAGAGCTCTTTACTGGAACATGTGAGGCCATGAGTTCAATCACACTACTGAAAGAAAAAAAAAAATTAAAACTAGGACAATCACAAAATGTTGGAAATGTCTGGGCAAACTAGGAAGCAAGTAAATATGGTGCATCTTCCTAAAAAGTGAGGTATTCTTCAAAGAAATTAGTCATTATACTAGTTACCATTTTATTATAATAAGTAGGTTTTTAGCTATACTATCAAAATAATGAGGATTCAAACATTTTTACTTATTCATCTTAAGGAATTTTTTCTCATAATATTTGTATGGTAAGCAAATTTTCATCAATTCCGTGAAATAGTTCAATTTAAATGAAATTTTAAAGAATCTAGAGAAAATTCTGCCAAAGTGAAATAGTTGAGCCATATTTATGACAGAAATAGATTATAGAGGAGGAGGGGTCATAAGTTCCAAGCTAACATGTTAATATTAGAAGACATAGGCCTTAGAACCTACAACCTGAACAAGTCATTGAAACTGTCTGAGCCTCAGTTTCTATCTCTGTAAAATGAAGATGAGACTTGCCTCCAGGGTTACTGAAAGGGTCAAAATGATGTGCATACATACACATTTATAGTGCCTAGCACACTCTCTGGCCCACATCAGACACCAAATAAATTTTTATTCCTTTTCCTCCTTTCCTTCCTCCATTCCCCTCCTTCCCTGGTTCTCTTAGCTAGAAAAATAAGTCTACGCTAAATCACTAAATCATTTTTTCCCCTTAGATCTAAACTGGCGAGGTAGAAAGCAGAAAACTTGGGAAATGACAGGTAATTTTTTTGTACTGGCCACAGACATAGCTCCTCACCTGTCCTCATACTACCTTATGGCACCTGATTAACATAGTGTTAAAACTTTTCAGACTGGCCTCTGAAGCTTTTTTCTTTTGTCTAATTGTTTCATTTGCAGTTTTAGAATACAGATTCTTGGGTCCAGAGAGCCATTTCATGGGGTGGGGGGGTCCGTGGGCATATTTTCCTTTTCAAGGTGGCTTTTTCAGATGGCTGAGATCTCATGAGTTGCCCTCACATATTTAGGAGAAGGAATACTAATATGCTGCTTATTAATTTATTAAGTATCCTTAATTGAGCATTAAACAATTTACTAAAGTTATTTGTTCCTCTTTTCAGTATTGGCTCAAATCAACCTTTTCCTATCAGACCACTTAGTGAATCAAAAAACCGTTTGTTGGACAATGAATCTCAATGGCTAGAGAATGGAGCTGAAGAAGGTGTTGTCAGATCAGGTAATAATTCTCACCTGAAAACACTGCTTCACCTATTTGGTTCAAATGAAAAGCAACAGATTTAATAAATGTTGGAAAAACAAAACAATGTGATATTTTGAAATACTGAAATGTGAAACATTGTAATAAAATGTCTTATAAATGGGATGTTTGTGTTTATTGGCGGCTTCTGTGAGGAAAGAGGACAGAGAAAGGCAGGTATAATGTTTTTATTGCATTCAGCTGGTTTTTTTGTTTTCCAACCACACATTTCTTCAGTAGTGTGGAAAGTCCTTTTGAAATACGCTATTTCAAATAATGTTTTAAATAACTATTATTTAGGATTCTAGCTCATACTTATTGAAAATAATTTTTTTAAATT